ATTATTCATTAAACAAGCAAATCAAACACAAATAAATATTTTAGGATCGAGTTATAAACAAACCGAACACAAGCAACCCTTTGTTTGATCATGTTGAGCTCATTTTAGCTAAAAAAAGGAAATTAAATGTATTATTTTTATAATAATAATATATATATCATAATAGCTCGTGTGGCTATGAGGGTTAACATTTTTTTATTGCATAGAAATGGTGCTTCTTTGACTCCAACAATTTACATTAATTTACCTAATTGATTTAAATGAGTTAATTCCAAGTCAAACATGAAAAATAATATGTAATTGAGCTGAACAAGAACACACTATTCACGACCAATTTTGAACACGAGCCAATTTCGAATATAATTAATTTTGAATGAGTTGAACCTGAGCTCGCTCAAGCTCGACTCGTTTACAATCCTACATATATTGGACTGTTAAGAAACATCCAATAGTCACCATATCCTCCACGGGGGCAAAATATAGTGCACTCGTTTTAGCTACCACAAATATTATGCGACTACGTCGACTTGTTCATGAATTTAGGGTTTCCCTAACATAGCCAACAACTTTGGACTATGCTAATATTTTAGCAATATCTCTAACAAATAATTTTGTCTACCATATTAGACCAAAACACATAGAAATTGAATATTACTTTACATTAAAGCCACATTAATTCCAAACAAAATCATATTCACTACATCCACCTCAAGATCAACCCATAGGTATACTCACCAAAAGCCTTATCCAAACACAAATTCTACCAATTCTGCACCAGGCTGATAGTTCATCAAAGACATATTAACTTCTAAGAGGGTAGTAACAACAGGAAAGCATTAAGTAATCAAACTGCCAATGACGATCCCCACTATATGATAACTTAACTGTAACAATCTATCAAAGAAGGATAACAACTACATTATACTCCAGAATGTTCTATTATTTTTATAAATATTATGACATTATGTCTGGGAAGGACACATATACTCATATATCTTATTTTATGAGCAAATGATCTAAGTATGTGTTTATAGATAATTAAGATATTTTTTGTTATTTTGCTCTTATCTTCAATCACTGAATAAGATTTACTTAATCATATGTGAGATATCAACCCATATATTCTTTTCATTCTTTGTTCTCTCATCATATATTCAACTGTGGAGAATGATGTCAATATAGAATCTGGCATGAAACTTGACTTGAATATAATAAAAAAAATATATATGCTGATCAACTTGTGTATGATTTCAATCATATTCATGTTAGCGTTTGAAACTTTAAGAAAAGACACTAATTTCTAGTTAATCACAAAATAATAACTCGATTATTTGTTTATGTTTTCACATAATAAAATCTTATGAAATTATAATTTATTTATTTTATATGTCAAAATGAAATAAATAAATTAAATAAATAAATTTAGTATAAATTAGTGTTGACCTAATTTTTAGTCACATAGGACTTGTTCGGACATCAACCCTTGATTTGACGCAACAAAATCGATCAAAAGGAGTGTATGTTTTTTTTTATTGGGACGCCTCAATATACGATGTCATGGTCATGCCTGACCTAGGCATGACCAGACCCCAAAGTACCTCAGAGCGGTCATGCTAGACCTGGGTGTGACCACTCCCAGGCAAACCAACTTCACATGTCAGTGATTCGTGGCCTTCGACCATGAATCAGACCACAAACCAACCGTCGCACCCATTTAGTGGCGGCGATCCGTGGCTTTTAAACCGCCGGGTTAATAGTCATTATCGAATGGCTCCGAGAGGCTCCACCACCGCCTCCCCCACCTATAACACAGGGCCTCTAACACTGGACATGACACTGTCTGAGCACTATTAGCATAGGAAGAAGAAGTGCGGAGGGAGAAGAAGAAGGGTGGCAATTCCCTGGCAAGCCTCCCCATCATCCGGTAAACCTCATTTTCTCCTGGTAAATTCTCCTTCTTCTTTTAATTTAACCATTTTTATTTAAAAGTTTTAAAACTAGGTCAATCAACTCAAAAGTCTTGGATCAGACTTAGATTTGGGCTAACTCAGGTCAAATTGAACCCAACCTAACCCTAACTCACCTAACCTAAACTCTAATCTCAACCTTAGACCTGACCTAACCCATGTTTAACTTAAACTCTAATCTCAACCTTAGACTTGACCCAACCTAATTCTAACCCAAACCTTAACCTATACCCTAGACCTAATCCAACCCATGTCAAACTCAAACCTAAACTAAACCCAATACCCGACCTAACCTAGATCTAGCCCAAAATCTAACCTAACCTAATCCAACCCAAGTCTAGCCCAAACTCTAAGCTAAACCTACCCTCCCTAATCTAAATCCTAGATTTGACCATAACAAGTCTAATCTAAAACTAAGGTCTGAGCCAGCCAAGGTCTGACCCAAGCATAAAACATACCTAACCCAAACTCTGACCTAACATGGGTATGACTCAAACTAAACTTTATTCAATCCTAACTTGACCCAAGTCTAGCCCAAATTTGATTTGATCCGAACCTTAACTTAACCAAGGTTGAAACTAACCTAGAGCCGACTAAACCCCAAGCTAAACCTTAAACCTAAACTATAATCTAGATCTGAACCTATACTGAATGTCAAAGTTAACCTTAGACTTAACCCAAACCAAACAGCCAACCTGGGTCAACCCTGCTTAACCCGGGTAAAACCCAAATAAGACTTAAGCCAACTCGAGTCAACCCCTCTTAAATTGGGTGAAACCCAAATTAAAACTAATCCAACATGAGTCAAAACAACTTAACACGAGTCAAACCCAAATCAAACCAAAGCCAACCCAACTTAACCCACGTCAAACCCAAACCAAACCTAAGCTTACAAAAGTCAACCCAACTTAACCGCGGTCAAACCCAAACGCAACTCAATCCGGATAAACTTGGTTTAACCCAGGTCAACCTAAATCAAATCCAACTTAACCCGAGCCGACCTAGGTCCAACCCAAACCCAAGTTTGCTAACCCATATTATACCTTAGCTCAATTTTGATTTAACTTAAGCTAGAAAATAAACTTACCTCGGCTCGAACTTAACCCAACTCTAATCCAAGTTTAAAATACATGTTATTCGTGTTTTATGATGTAGTTGTAATTGTATTGGTCCTTATTCGATGTAGAAACCCTAGCATCGAAGGTGGAGAAATAGAAACATTATCACGTGACCACCCTCAATTACATCCATATTTCAACTCCATGAATATGAAACAAGACTATGCCCAATGGAGTGCCCAAGCAAACCCTAACAGAAGAGAAACTATTCCAGAGTAGAGAAAATATGGAGCTCACAAACACTCCCAAATCTATCTCAGACAGAAAGTGCTTCAAGTGCCACATGTTTGGATACATTTCATTAAAATTTTGATTAATTTTTTGAAGATTCCATGGAATAAATTCACTACTAAGTTTCAGTTCAGTACATTTTGTAATGTACCCACATACCATATGATCACACAAGTGTGGTGAATAACAATTTAGAAATTTTTTTATGTGATTTGTGGGAAATAATATCCGATAATGAGATCCAAGCCATTTCAGAAAAAAAAAACCTCTCCAAGTCGGAGAGAATGCATGAAGTTCCGTCACAAAATCATAGTCTACGACCCCACGATTGTAAGCTTCAATAAACACAAAATCATGAATACTGTGAATGTGATATAAACAAATCAAACAACTACACTATCATATTATCAAATTCAACATGGAATTTTGACTTTTCTAGTTTATTTATTGTCTTTCTTATAATTAGGATTTCTTTATACAAGAGACAATTTAAATGTTTTATATTTCTACTTTGTTGATTTTTGCTTGATTTTATTTTTATCGGAGATTGTGATATATGTTTTCTAACAAAATGAGTGTTGTATCCTCTTTTGCAAGTAGCATGTTTATAGATAGCACAAGAAAATATGCCGAATCTCCTCCTTGTTTATATGTCGTGATTTCAGAGCTCTTTTTACTGTTTTCAATAAGGATAATCACCAAACAATGCTTATCCCCGCCCAAACACCATCAAGCTCTCGAGTTATTACTCCCCTGCCACTCCACAACCACCTCCTTGCTAAATCACCTTCCTATCTATCTTTAATAAGCCTTAAAATGATGTTAGGGACATTGGCCTTTAATGGAAAAGTCATCATTATGGATCAATATGTGTATTGTGGTACTAAATAATTTTGATTCATGTTAATTATAAGTTGGCCATATGATAAGACCTTTTTGAATCCTCAACCTTATTTGTCACCCTTTATGTTATCGTGGAGCGTCAAATAATTATTAAATTACAATACAATAAAATTATTAATACAATGACTCAATTAAGCCATAATGTTCTTAATTGAATCTACTATGTGCATCTTGTTTATACAACATAACACTATTTAGGTTTGATATATGATGTATCATTTTGAATTATTTTTTAAGTGGTTTATATAATTCGTTGTCATAAACAAACGACGAGCTCTTTAAAACTGCTTTATGCTAACATGCTGAAATATTATCAAATTATAATATTGAGACGTTTATTTATAAATTTAGTTTTGTCAAATATTCTTAAGTTTGTGAGTTGATGCAATTTGATATATTCAGATATGATTTACCAATTGAGTTGGGATCTTGTTAGATGGACTTATTATTGCTTATAGAGTCTTGATACACAACTTGGAGGGATAATTATATAAGGACACCCAACATTTTGCTATTTATAAAATTAACATCAAAGTAATTTTTTTAAGTGTCAAACTGATGCATTTACATGACATAATTAAATCATTTAAAAATTGATAAAAATGAAAATATAGGTTGAAATTTTATCATGAAAATTGATAATTTAGCAAGAAATTTAAAAAATGGATGGTAGAGATCGCAATATTTATAGACAGTAATCTTTTGAGTGCTAGGATCGATGTTCTTCTTCCAACCCGAATAGGACAGCGCCCGTTTTTGCGGCTCTGTTTTTCGGTTTTGCCCGAAAACATCTGCTTTGACTTATGACCCACTAGATTTTCGTTGCGCGCCTCTCCCCTCGCAGCGATCCAACCTCCGCCTTCATGGCGGTTAGGTTTTTCCTTGTGTTTCTGATACTGCTTTTCCACTCAACCATATCTTCTGCCGTATACGAGGATCAAGTAGGGCTTGCGGATTGGTGCGCAGATCTCCCATACTTTTATTTAAAATATCCTTTAATCTGTTTATGCTTCAATAACAGGAATAGTGTAGCAGGATCTTGTCTGTTTTAAATGTGGGCTGTAACTGCTTGACCTCTCGTTTCTCTTTCTATTCTGCCTTTCCCTTTTCCCGAGTTATGACATTTATGCCTATTGGGGTTCTAAATTGTTGCTTTGCATAATTGATTGTGTTTCATTTAACGTTTTGGGAGATTTTTGTATGCCATCGGGGTAATTAAAATTTATCTTTACAATTAGCGGTATTTTTTCCGTTTTAACAAATACTTATTGGATAGAGAATGTTGCGATGTATGTGCATGGTTGCGAATTTTGCCAAATCGATGCTCAATCTGAGCTTCTGAATGCTTCAGTCATAGTGTGCTTGATTGGCTTGGGGATTAACCTCTAATTAAATATAGGCCATCCATCCAATACGATAAATGATTTCGTTTCATGTTTGTTTGTCTGTATTAGGAAATCCTGTTGGATTAATGAACCTTTTTGGCGAGGACTGACAACCATCCTATCATGTGGTCTTGAAATTAACTCTATACATTTAAAGAAAATTGTGTGCATGCCAAATGCGGATTGGTTTGATTTTGATTCATCCTTTAAGATTACATGATATCGTGCATACCAAATTGAGATTTGTTAATTTTTCTGTACTCAACCAAGTTTCGCTACTTACTGGACATTTATTATTCACAGAGTTAATATATTCTTGAACAAAAATGCCTTGAATATGCATAGTTTCCTGGTAAAGTGATGGAGGTAATTGTGACAAATAAATTGTATTTTTAGAGGTCGATGATATTTATGCAATTCGAAAGAGAATAATAGTTGATTCTGAAGTTATCAAGATACTAAGGTTGCAGACTATGATGCATTAACACAAACTTGGGTTCAAGCATAGAATGCGAAACTTACGTGTATGCATCTTTTTAGAAATAAAATTTTCTTTTTTCACAACTGTAACAAACATTTTTATCAAATAATAGAATTAAAATAGTATTTTTTATTATATAATAAAAAGGCATTCCCAATGCATGAAGGTGTTGCATATGCAAGGATATTGAGAGGAGATTTATCATTACGTGAAATGAATTCGTGATGTCTGGGCCAAAAAAAGACAACCTAAATGTTGATATAGTTTCCACCTCTCTAATTCCATTTTGTTGTAGGACTTGTAAATCAAATAAGATAAAATATAATATTTATAATTAGAATAGCATAATTTGTCTGTAATTTGTATTTTTCCAATAATTTTCAAATTTTTTAAAGAAAAAGCGGCTTGTCAAATGGTTTGTCCAGCCTATCATTCTCAGAGTGCCTGTATGCCCCAGTTTTCACATAGTGTCCCAAATGACTCAACCGTCTGCAAACGTTTTTTACTTAGAAGAATGGAGAGTAAGATCATGTAAAAACAATTGTACAAGATTTGATGTCGGCTCCATTGAATGATTAGAGCAGATTTAATTATTTTTTATTCCCCATTGAAAGAATGGGCATAAAACCTTACATGTATGCATCTTTTTAGAAATAAAATTTTCTTTGTTCACAACTGTAACAAACATTTTTATCAAATCATAGATGTAAAATAGTAGTTTTTATTATATAATAAAAAGGCGTTCCAAATGCATGAAGATGTTGCAAGGATCTCAAGATGAGAATTATCATTACACACCATTTTAAACTTTTTTCATGAAATGAATTTGTGATCTCCGGGCCAAGAAAAAGTAACCTAAATGTTGATATAGTATCCACGTCTCTGATTACATTGTGTTGTAGGACTTGTAAATCAAATATGACAAATATAATATTTATAATTAGAGTAGCATACTTTGTCTATAAGTTGTATTTTCCCAAAAAAAATTATTTTTTTCTAAGAAAAAAGTGGTTTGTCCAGTCTTATCATTCTTAGAGTGTACGTATGCCCCAGTTTTCACTGGGGTTTCACCCCCCGCCCTCCCCCCCCCCCAAAAAAAAAAAAAAAAACTAATGAAAACTTTCGCCACCTACTAACATGGTTAGGATTTGTTGTTTTATTTTTCTATAGCCTGAATTGTTTAAGGTTTATTTGGGATCACTTTTTTATTTGTTTTTAGTTTTTATTTTTGCTTTTATTTTAAAATATGTTTATTTAGTGCACTTTTTGCATGTTTTTTTTTTGTTTTTAAAAATAAAGTAGATAGTTTTTATGAACACTCAAAACATATAGAAGTTGTTTTGAGTGTTTTTCAAAACAACAAAGAATGTCGTATCATACCGTACATGTTTAATTTTAAATCGAAACAGTAAAAAAAAAAAATCAAAAGTGATCCCGAATATCTTCTGAAGTTAATGGTCAAGGGCCGATGCCAAGCTAGTTTTTAAAATTGTTTCCTTTAAAATGCTATACTGTAAATCTGTAATGTAATTATTATTGCACCATTTATTTGGGGGAAATATTTGCATACGGAATATGCATACAAAGCTGCGTGCGTAATAATTGCATACGGAATATGCACACAGAGCTGCGTGCGTAATATCCACTCAATAACCTCCGCTTCGCGGTTATTAGGGGGTTATTGGGAGTCTATTGAGGTATTAATTTCAATAACATATAATCTTAATAACATTTCAATAACCTTCGCGGGTTCTATTTCGATGTTATTCATAAGTTATTATGAGGGTATTACGTGGTTAAAGGAGTACGCACGCAGAGCTGCGTGCGTATTCCGTATGCAAATATTTCCCTTTATTTGGTGGGTTAGATGCTTAAATGTTTGCACATGAGATGTGGTTCATTGTTTGATATCCTGAGCGGATTGGGTTGTTTGTTTGTACTGCAGGCACCAAAGATACATAGGAAAAACAAAACATGCTGTTTTCCATAGTCATAAAACAGGCAGAAAACGTGTATTTGTTTCCACAGAAGAGAATGTAATTGCATCTCTTGACCTCCGGACAGGAGATATATGTAAGACTATCAGCTATGTATAAGATGCATCAAATCTTACATTCATTTTTTAATGTGCTTATGGAGGAAATTTGGTCGTGTCCACATTTCAAGAATGCAAATTTGATGTCTTTTTTTATGGATATTTACATATATAGCACCCAATTCTTATGAATTTACTTATCTCACACCCAAACTTTGATTTTTACAAACTAAGCACCCTTTCCTATGTTTGAAAAGATGTATGAAAAGGTGGATTACACATTTTCCATAGGTAGGGTGCTTTGGATATAAAAATTAAAGTTTAGGTGCGAGATAAGTAAATGCTAAGAATTGTGTGTTATGTATGTAAATTCCGCTTTTAGTAATGACATGTTTTTTTTTCACTGATTTCTTATTTATCTAAAACTGTCTTTCATTTGTTCATGCAGTTTGGCGTCATGTTCTTGGAGAAAATGACCCTGTCAATCAAGTTGATATTGCTCTTGGGAAATGTAATTATCCACCTCCTTTGTTTTTCCTTATTTAGTTGTTTGTGTAAGGTGCTGGTTAAATGCTGGTACTTCTCGATTTTATTGTAATTACCCTATCACATCTTTTATTGTTTGATTTTGGTACAATTTTCATACCTCATTATAATCTTCCTGAAGCATAAAGTCTAAAATAGTTTATTTAATTTCAGTTGTCTATCTGAAATTTGTGGTTGTCATTGACTTGAAGTGAGGCATTGATTTGATTTACATTTATGATGCGTTGCTTATGGTCAACCCCTTACTCTGATGACATTTTATAAGTTACCTAGGGATTCATTTGATGGGATTATGGAAAGCTATTTTTTGAAAGTATTTTAAATTTCTTGAACATGTGAATAATTTAGAAATGGTCGACATTAAACTAAGTTGAGTGATGCATGTTAGGTCATTGTGAATGTACATCATGCACTTTAAGATCATATCATTTTGTCACTTGGATGGTGCTCGTAAAAATACTTAGGATGAGTTATGCTTAAGAATTTGAATTAATAAGGTGGAATCTATAATAATGGAGTAAAATGCTTAAAATATAAGAGGCTTAGGATAGCGAAGGAATGATTGAGTATATGATTTGAGAATTTACTAAATGTGAAGTTGATAATCAACAACTAATAATTTTGAGAGGCTTTGTGATTCTTTCATGTGATTAGTTGTCATGTCGTGTTGATTTTTATTCAAATAAAGATGGATATTGATATAGTTAAAGTTGATGTTTGGAGATGAAAAGTTACAAATTAATTAAGGCTACTTTGCAAATTGAGAATATTGTAAAGTTCCAATATAAAATTTAGTGTTGGGCAACACAATAACCATTGAAAACCAAATAACTGTTTAAAAGGAATAAAGTGATAGATGATTATATTAGTTAGGCAGTGGAAGTAGTAATTTTCGAATTTAAGAATGTGAGAAATAGGTTTTGATGGTTTAGGCATTTAAAAGGTTGAGAGAAGATGCACATAAAAGATTGAAAGTTAAAATAAATATATGAGAAATATCGCAATAGGGAGAAGAATCGTAAAATTTGTAGAGGGAAGCAAATCTTAGCAACGACGGATAAATTGGTAATTTGTACTTACCTAATGCGGAACGTCGGTCCGACAATTCAGCCTCATTGTTTCGGAATTTCACTAGTGAAGCTTTGCGGTGGTAGCGAAGTTCTTCGCGACAACTCTTCCAAACAATAGTTTTTTCCATTTCTGTTTCGTTTCCACTACGACGGAGGCAAGCCGCAACCTCAAATGAGGCTTAAATCTAAAGGACTGCTACTCCTATTCTTGTTTCTTGCTTGAAGCCAACTGTTTACACGAAGTTGGTCGGACCACTTCCACCAAATCCTTCCAAGACTGCTACTCCTATTCTTGTTTCTTGCTTGAAGCCCACTGTCACCAAATCCTTCCAGGGACCCCTTCCACCAAATCCTTCCAATCAGTTGGTGCTCACTGTCTTCAATTGTGGACAACCATCAGAGAAGATTTTTTGGAGAGCTCCATTGACTATTTATGGCGGATTCCAAGACTCCGTTATAAAACTCCTTTCATTCTCTCCTTTCCAAGCCCAAGGTCCCTAAATTGAGCATAAAATCTTGCATACTTATTGTTAAAATTGTAGAAATACCCTAATGACGGGCTGTTTGGGATTTAATTAGTAGGATGTAGTAAATTATGTAAATCCAAATTCAATAAAAATTTAGGTGTTTGTTAAACCCGAAAAAATTGTTTGGATTTGCTAAATCTAGTTAAATCTTGACAACTTCTTTCAGGATTAATTATAACTATCCTAAACTAATTAAATAATGATTGGTACTTTATTATCCATTAATTAAGCATTAATTAATTAAATTAAATTAATTAAAATAGCCTCTGCTTAATTAAATTAAGTGAAAGTTAACTTTCACAAAATACTATTTTTATGTATCATCTTTTAATAAGTTATAAATTTAATGAAAATTAATTTTTTTAGTAATTCAAAGATGACCATTTTAATTTATTTACTTAAATTTTTTGTAATTAGTAGCCTAATTAATCTAATCAATATTATTAATTAAATTAAATGAGTATTTTGTGTACTTAATCCCCATTCTCTTACTACTAATTTGAAACACTCATCTTCCTCCCCTCTTATGCTTTTACCAAAAGCCCTATCCTAGACCCTTATCTTCCTTCCCCTTTTTGCTCCTACCTGAAACACTAGAAAAATAATTGCGATATGGCTTGCAACTGAGTGACAAGTCACGGCAAGAATTTGTGTTGGCGCTTGCAAGTGTAGTTAGAAGCCGCGATGGAAGCTTGTAGGCCAATATTTCTTCCCCTTTTTTCTCTTTCGTGCCTTTCTTTCTGCTAAATTCCTTTAAATTTGCCGAACAACTAGATTTTGTATATACCATATTTATGATGAAAATTGGTGAAATCTAAATTTAGAAAATCCAATGATTTAAGATAGCCTTTTCCAGTATTTGGCAGAATTTAAGTTAAATCCTGTTGTTAATCCATTCTAAAAAAACCCCTTGAGCCCATTAGCAAGTTAATGGAACACAAAATATAAAACTATGTCATTCTCCCCCAAGCTGAAGAAGACTTGCACTCAATGTCTTTTCTTTCCCCTAGTATGGTAAAATATGTAACGTTTGGGGTTGCAAATATATTGGGATCCCTTAAAAAATAAATCTTATAAGCACGTGCTTTAATGTGTTTGACGATCTTCTTGGCATCTGCCCCCTTATTGAAGAAATTTTTTTGTTGGGATAAGGTTATTTTTGTACCACTTTTGGTCGAAGAATATTGAGTAGAGCATATTTTTTGCTAAGGATATCAACAATTTTATTTTGGATTGTCGAATTGTGCTTCGAACTATAGATGAAGAATGAAAAAATTTCGGCCCAATTAATTTGCATACCATTGGTATGTTTCTTGGTATTTTTAATCCTCATTTGGCACATGCTCATTTTGTTTTTTTCCATAATCACCAGCTTATGAATAGGCTTTAAGTCATGTATGGCATTTATGAATGTTGACTTGGAGACCTCAGTGTTGTTTGCAACTTCTTTAATTCTATCACGTTGTAGTATAAATCCTTTTGCTGTTGTTGTAGTGGTATAAGTCCTTGTAATTGCATTCCAAAGCATAAATGTTTTTGTAACCATTGTAGATAGCGTTTCTGTTGTATTGTTACAGTCTCTCTAGCAGTAAATGACAATTAACCATTGGAATAACGTTGCATTTTGCTTTATCGTAAAGATTTTTGCTGATGGAAATTTGTACTAAACTTAGTTAAGCTACTTTAATTTTATGTTACTTCTTTAAACATGAGAGCTTGTAAGGCATATGATGATCTTGTTTGAGAAGGTTCAATTTTTTTACCATTTTTGTATAGATGACATTCTCATAACTTCATCAATGATTGCGTATCTCCCGTTAAAGAATGCACCTCATATGAAATTTTTTCGCTCCAATTCTGTCAATAGTGGTGCCTAGCACTCTATAAATAACAAATTCTTGCCTTTGGGTTGTGGTGATCCTCTTCTTGGATTTTGTTTTCTTATGAGCTTCTTCTAATAGTGAAATCAACGGTGTAGATAATTTGATGCAATATGACCAAATCATAGGCACTTAACATTTGATAAGTTGGGTCTTATTAGTGTTGGTACTTTTCTCCCACTGGTAGTTTGGGATTGGTCAGATTGAACAGATTTGGGGAAGGCATTTTGTGTCTTCACATGTTTCATTGCATGAATTGTGTGGTTCTTGTACTTACATCAGTGGAAGCTCTTTGGGTTTTGTTGCTGTTTTTTAACATTTCATGCTAGTTTGATAACATTAGAAAGCGATAGGTTTTTGTTGTAGTTGCACCATGTTAGCTATTGTGGGATGCAAAATATGGTGTGCCTTTTTTTGGTTTGTTAAATCAGACGTCAACGTCAACTAGTTAAATTCATCAATATACTGATAACTTTTGTTGACATTATGGAGCTTGATTTTGCTGTTCTGTCTAAAATGAGACTGCAAGTATTTCTTGTGTATCTCCTTAAATTTATGCACATATAAAATTTGTTTCTTTGCTGTAATTAACTCGCCTTTTTTGAGGTTTTCTAACCAATGAAAGCTCTCTTTTTCAACTTAATGGCTACTAACTCAACTCGTTAGTCAATTGGTACATTACTACTTTCGTATAATCAAACACACATCTACCTCTTGCAACCAAATGATAAAAGCAACCGGTTTCAAACCTCCTAAAAAAATAGAATATTAACCTTCACCCTAAAATCTTTGATATTGCGTTATTGGTTAAATTCTTGGAAATCTTTGTTGTGGTTTGTCCTCTTCCAATGATTCTTGGAACGTTTGATGTAAAGAATTTGCATCACATTTCCGCATTTCAAATAACACAAGATGTTGTAATCGGTTGATTTATCTTCTGAGGTTTTCCATGGCGATTTCTTGAGCCAGATGTCAACTATTCCTCTTAGGCGGTATCCTAACCACTTGATGCCAAATGATTGTGAAAGGAAGCTATAATAAGTGCACATTTACAAGATGACAACAACCTCTAGTGTGTTGCAAAACTAATTGAAACTGCATGCTAGCAATAAAAGTGAATAAAAAATTTTGAAGGGCTATTGACAATGATAAATGACTTAGATAATTTTGCTTTCCCAACAAAATTTCTTGTTGGCAAGGGGCCAGTGCTGAAAATTGTTAGCTTGAACTTCCTCCCTCGCAAAAAATTCCTTGAATGATGTCCTGCTGGAATTTCCAGCAGTTGCATTCAGTCCAGATCCAATGAGGGGTAATTGGTTGCTGTTCCCTTAGCTTGTACGACTTAGGCACTTCTTGAAGTTTCCCACTCTCTAGTATCCCAGCCAAGAGATATTTTGCAATACAGTGGTTTCAGGCCCTTTCGGTGATCACCTGCACCTTGCCGTGATCTTCAAAGCTCTGTGTAAAGCTACTGTCTTCAATTTAGAT